TCCCCCTCCCTCTCCCTCTCCCCCCCCTTCCTCCTCCCTCATATTTCCCTTTGCTTCTTTGTTTTGTTTCTTGAATTCCATATATGAGTGAAATCATATGGTATTTGTCTTTCTCTGACTCACTTATTTCACTTCGCATGATACTCTAGCTACATCCGTGTCCTTGCAAATGGCAAGATTTCATCTTTTTTATGGCCAAATAATATTCCATTGTATTTATATACCACATCTTCTTTATCCATTCATCAGTCCATGGAGACTTGGACTGCTTCCATATCTTGGCTGTTGTAAATAATGCTGCTGTATAAACATAGGGTTGCATGTGTCCCTTTGAATTAGTGTTTGTGCATTCTTTGAGTAAATACCCGGTAGTGTGATGGCTGGATCACAGGCTAGTGCTATTTTTAACTTTTTGAGGACCTTCCGTACTGTTTTCCACCATGGCTGCACCAGTATACATTCCCACCACCAGTACCCAAGTGTTCCTTTCTCTCCACACCCTCCCCTGCACCTCTTCGTTTCTTGTGTTGTGTTATTGATTTTAGCCATACTGAGGAGTGAGACTGTCATAGTGATGATTTGAGTATCTTTTCATGTTTTGGTGACCATGTCTGTACATGTCTTCTACCCATTTTTCCAATTGGATTATTGGTTTTTTGGGTATTGAATTTTATAAGTTCTTTATATATTTGGGATATTAACCTTTTATTAGATACGTCATTTACAAATATTTTCTCCCATTTTGTCAATTGCCTTTTAGTTTGGTGATCGTTTCCTTTGCGGTGTAGGAAGCATTTTATTTTCATGTAGTCCCGATAGGTTATTTTTCTTTTATTTCCCTTGCTTCAAGAGACATATCTAGAAAAAAGTTGCTATGACTGATGTCAAAGTTGTTACTTTACTTACTATGTTCTCTTCTGAGATTTTTAGGTTTCACATCTCACACTTAGGTCTTTAATACATTTTGAATTTATTTTTGTGTATAGTATAAGAAAGTGGTGCAGTTTTTTCTTTGACACGTTGCCAACCAGTTTTTTCAGAACCATTCGTTGAAGAGACTGTCTTTTTTGCATTGGATATTCTTTCCTATTTTGTTGAAGATTTATTCACCATACAGTTGTGTGTTTATTTCTGGGTTCTCTGTTCTGTTGATATATGTGCCTATTTTTGTGCCAGTACCATACTGTTTTGATTACTACAGCTTTGCAATATAACTTGAAGACCAGAATTATGATGCCTCCAGCTTCACTCTTTTTTAAGACTGCTTTGACTACTCAGGGTCTTTTGTAGTTCTCTATGAATTTTAGGATTGTTTGTTCTAGTTCTGTGAAAAATGCTGTTGGTATTTTGATATGATTGCATTAAATCTGTAGATTGCTTTGGGTAGTATAGACATTTTAACAATATTTGTTTTTCCAATCCATGAGCATGGACTGTCTTTCTATTTCTTTGTGTTGTCTTCATTTCTTTTATTAGTGTTTTATACTCTTTGGAGTACAGGTTTTTTCACCTCTTTGGTTAGGTTTGTTCCTAGGTATCTTATTATTTTGGGTGCAGTTGGAAATGGTATTTTTTAATTAATTTCTCTTTCTGTTGCTTCATTATTGGTATATAGAAATGCAACAGAATTCTGTGCATTGATTTTGTGTCCTGTGGCTTTACTGAATTATCAGTTGTAGGAGTTTTTTTGCTGTCATCTTTTGGGTTTTATATATGGAGTATCAGGTTATCTGCAAATAGTGATTTTACTACTTTACCAATTTGGATGCCTTGTATTTCTTTTTGTTGTCAGATTACTTGGGTAGAACTTCCAGTACTATGTAGAATAAAAGTGGTGAGAGTAGACATCGTTGTCTTCTTCCTGACCTTAGGGGAAAACTCTTTTTTCCCATTAAGGATGATGTTAGCTGTGGAGTTTTCATATGTGACCTTTGTTATGTTGAGGTATATTCCCTCTAAACCTACTTTGTTGAGGGTTTTTATCGTGAATGGATGTTTGGCTTTGTCAAATACTACTTCTGTGTCTTTCAAAATGATCATATGGTTCTTATCCTTTCTGTTAATGATGTAATGTATCAGGTTGATTGATTTGCAAACATTGCAAACTACTCTTGCAATCCAGGAATAAATTCTACCTGATCCTAGTGAATGATTTTTTTAATGTATTGCTGGATTGCTTTGCTAATATTTTTTTGAGGATTTTTGCATCTATGTTAATCAGGGATACTGGCCTGTAGTTCTCTTTTTCAGTGGTGTCTCTATCTGGTTTGGATGTCAGGGTAATGCTGGCCTCATAGGATGAATTTGGAAGTTTTCCTTTCTTTTCTGTTTTTTGCAATAGTGTGAGAGGAATGGGTATTAAGTGTTTAAATGGTAGAATTCACTTGTGAAACCCTCTGGTCCTGGAATTTTGATTATTGGGAGTTCTTTGATTAATAATTCAGTTTCTTTGCTGGTCTGTTCAAATTTTCTATTCCTGTTTCAGTGTTGGTAGTTTATATGTTTCTAGAAATTTATCCACTTCTTTTAGGTCATCCAATTTGTTAGTGTATGGTTTTTCATTTTATTCTCTTATGATTGTATTTCTTTGGGATTGGTTGTTATTTCCCCTCCCTTGTTTGTGATTTGAGTTCTTTCTCTTTTTTTTTCCTGATAAACCTGAATACAGGTTTGTCAGTTTTATTGATTTTCTTCAAAGAAATAGCTCTTGATTTCTTTGATCTGTCTTACTGGGTTTTTTTTTTTTTTTTTTTTTTTTTTTTTTTTTTTTTTTTTTTTTTAGTTTGTTTGTTTACCTTCTATATCATTTATTTCTGCTCTAGTATTTATTTCCTTCTGCTAGTTTTAGGTTTTGTTAGAGTGTTTAATATAAACACTTTCATAAAAAGTTAGAGTGTTTATTTGAGCTTTTTCCTGCTTCTTGAGGTAAGCCTGTATTGCTATAAACTTCCCTCTTAGAACCACTTTTGCTGCATCCAGAGGTTTTGGACCATTATGTTTTCATTTTCATTTGTTTCCATGTACTTATCTCTTCTTTCATGTCCTGGTTGACCAATTCATTGTTCAGTAGCATGTCTTTTAACCTTTATGTATTTGTGGTTTCTCCAGATTTTTTTCTTGTGGTCGACTTCTAGTTTCATAGCATTGTGGTCAGGAAATATGCATGGTATGATTTTCATCTTCTTGAATTTGTTGAGGTTTGTTTCCTAGACTAATGTGCTCTATTCTGGAGAATGATCTGTGTGCACTTGAAAAGAATGTGTATTCTGCTGTTTTAGGATGGAATGTTCTGAATGTATCTGTTAAATCCATCTGTTCTAGTGTGTCATTCAAAGCCATTGTTTCCTTGTTGATTTTATGTTTAGATGATCTGTCCATTGTTGTAAGTGGGACGTGAAAGTCTGCTACTGTTATTATATTATTATTGATTACTTCCTTTAAGTTTGTAATTAGCTCTTTTATGTATTTGGGTGTTTCTCTGTTGGGTGCATAAATATTTACAATTGTTGTATCTTCTTGTTGGGTTGTAATCTTTATGATTATATAGTGTGTTTCTTTGTCTCTTGTTACAGTCTTTGTTTTAAAGTCTATTTTGTCCGATGTAAGTATTGCTAGTGTGGCTATCTTTTGACATCCACTTGCATGGTAGATGTTTTTCCATATCCTCACTTTCAATCTGCAAGTGTCTTTAAGTCTAAAACGAGTCTCTTGCAGATAGCATATAGATGGATCTTGGTTTTTAATCCATTCTGTCACCCTGTGTCTTTTGATTGGAGTGTTTAGTCAATTTACATTCAAAGTAATTATTGATAGAAATGTATTTATTGACATTTTCTGAAGATTTTCTGTGTTTCTGAAGGTTTTCTCTTATCCTTTCTTTCTTTCATGGTTTGATGATTTTCTTTAATGA